AAAAATTGCAGATATGTTTGTGATTATTGTACCTTCAATTAACTCAAATCGTCTTCTGCCATGCTTAGAATTGTTATGGACAAATATGTTATCAGAAATGGCTAGAATGTGGCCCTTAACAGAGGCTGTGGTGGAGACCAGCACCTGCAATGCACAGTACATTTTAGTGTACTGCAGAAAATGTAGCACACAAAAAGAATATTTTGATGTTGAACAAGGATGGTTAAATACATTTCTTACATTTTTTAATTCATTAAATTAATGCAAGCTACATTTATATTTTTTACCATTGTGGTTTTAATCTAAAGTGTGATCCATCTATATATTACATTTTAATTAAATTTATTGGTTACACACACTTTACAATAAGGTTTCATTTGTTAACAGCAACAATGAACAATACTTTTGATATGAAAACAATACTTTTCGTCTATCATGTTAATCTTAACAATTATAAATAGATTAGATCAAAAGTATGCTAACATTAGTAAATGCACTGAACTAACATTTTTATTAGCTAACTCCAGTAACAAAAGTTTAAAAATGCAGTAAAAATATATTGCACATTGTTAGTTCATGTTATCAGACACATAAAGGACATCAGTAATATGATTATTTAACTTTTTGTGTGTACCTGGAAACGACGTGTGTCTCGTGGGTTCCCTGCGTTCTTCAGGCAATTTTGATTACATTTGAGAAAAAATTTCAAGAAGAACCTAAATATAAAATAAAAAGAAAATGACATCATTTAGATGGCAAGACTTTCCTCTGCAAACATGTGAAGGTAAAGTATGAGTGGATCAGGGAAAGGAGAAAAAGAGAATGATGTAGAGTACAAACTGTCTGTCTGATTTTATCCGCAATGCTGAATCCTAGCTCATTAAATAATCAACTTTTTCTCTTCCCTCATTTTTCTCTTACACATATTACAGTATATAGCCTACATTTCATTATTACTCATTTAAAATGTTATAAAAATGTAACTGATTGTCCTACCTGTCAATAATCACGGGGTCTGAAGGTGTTTCGTTCCTGTTTCCACAACTTTTCTTATCACAACATCGGCTGTAATATTCACAGATAAAGACACACACAATTATCACTGCATCAACTTTTTAAAAAGTAACCTGCATTTTGCAATTATAGCAAACACACATTAAGTTTGGTTGCAGCATGCATGGGATTTTGTAAGTGTGTAATAGTGCAGATTGACAAAAGTTACCTGCACATTGTCTCATGAGTGAGAAGAACACGACGCATTTCAGGGTTTTTATCTTGACCTTCAAACATAATTGCCTGACATAGTAGAGGTAATGTATAGGCAAATGGCAGGTTAATATTATGCATAATAAAATAAAATCTATCATGATAATATCTATGAGTATTTCAAATATCATCTTAGCTCTGTGAACAAAGCACATTTTTTAAAAAAACTTTTTTGTCTTGAACATTTCAAACATCTTGACTGAAGCGAACTTTCAATGCTAAGATGCATACCACATTCTTGCATATAATATGAAAGTGCCAAAATTGTACCTGTTTGGTCACAGAGTCTATCAAGCGGATGTACAGATCTTGCTCAGTTCTGACACCTAATAACAATTTATAGAATTAATAGCACAACATCAGTAGAAAAACGCCATACAAATGACAGTTCAAAGTAAGTTTATTTCTATAATAGTAGACTATTTGTAATGCAGGCATAACTCACCATTGTTGTACAGTAACTGGAGTTTATAATGGATTCCATTGTTCGTTTTTTCACCATTTGGCTCCTAAATCAAACAGAAAAAAATACATGCTTTGTCTTACATGGCATCAGAACTTCTAATCTAATCAAACCCAATAAACGCAATGTTTCATATATTCCACATTTTTCCTCAGGAACCCGTTGTAAAATACTACAAGGTAAAAAAAAAAAAAGAAAAAAAAAAAAAGAATGACATCTAGTCGAGAAGAATAGTAATAATATTCACGTTAATCAGATATTCATTGTGTCTGAAATCGCCCCTATACCCTCATATCAATATCACATTTTTTCTAAAACACAGTTCCAGTAGTGGGATTGAATGTAAGATTGAATAAGTGCACTCAAGAACGTCCACAATGGTTTCAGACACCCAAATGGCTGTTCCCTCAAACTTTTCCTGTTTCCTTTTAAATAAATAAATAAAAATAAATACAAGCTGTGCTCTAAACCAATGACTAAATTCGCATTTAGAACACCAAACATTAAAAATGAAAATCAGGTTGATGTCATAATCCAATGTCAGATTGACTCTGTTGGGTTCTGACGTCAACCCAATTTGCAACCAAAATGCAACCCCTGCAACCAAAATCACCCCTTGACTGATGTTACTACTTTCTACTCAAGGACCTTGACAGAAATGTAGAGGAGAAAAAAGTACAATATTTGTCTTTCAAACGTGGTGAAGTTAAAATAAAAAGTTTCCAGAAAAAATAATACTCAGATACTCAAAAAGTGTACTCAAGTGAATGTACTTTGTTACTATCCACCTCTGCTCCTCACCTTATCCTTTTCAACAAAGTCCACAAAGGCAGTGTGCTCAGTCTCCACAGACTGACCTTGACTGTCATATAAAGCCAACACGAAGTGAAAGAAGTTTGACTTGCGCAGGTTGGCGGGCGGCTGCTTCTCGAAGTGTGCCCGGGCAAGATTAACACCTCTGTTGGAAAAAAAAGAGCAACTAGTTATTTGTAGTTTAAAATTAAGTACTTGAGTGCTGCTGCCATTAAAGAAAATGATGTATAGCAAATTATGTATACTTTATATTAGGTGTTGTCTACTACTATGTACTTACATCAAAAAAATTGTTAGGTTAGGGTGCTTATTGTGTTGTTCATATTGTGTTGAAAAACACTTTTGCTGCTATTGAGGATACGGAAGGTTATGGACAGGTTTAGTTTAAGGGTGGGTTAAGTGGTAAAGCAAGGGTCAACAGTGTAATTACAGATGCCATTAATTACTGCTATAAATGACTTGAAGATGTTTTTACATTTAAATAATAATTTTTTAAATAATAATTTGATACATTAAACATATTTTTAAAAATATATTTTTAGTAATTCCTGCATGTAATTATATTTGTAATTACATTGAAAAGCGTCTTTTAAATTACATTTGTAATTAGATTTGTAATCAATTGCAGTCAATAGGACATGGATACCATAACCTACTTACACCAAACCTGTCCCTAGCTATCCCACCTCATTAGCAGCAAAAGATCATGAACACAATGTCTTGAACACAAAATGTTTTAGGTATAATAGATACCTAATATAAAGTAGGACCAATTTTTTATTGAATGAAATAAAGTAGTAGCTTAATTCAAATGTTTCATGCACGAATGGTGTACGCTAGCTTTATCCATTTTACACATAAAAAAATGACATTAGAATAAGAAATGGACAAAATATAATGGGATGCACCAGCTTACCTCTGAGCAGAAAGGTTACCCTCTGCCAGCCCGAGGAGAGCTGAGCCCAGAGCAGACCTGACCTCCTGCTTCATCACCCCCAGTCCACAGGCATGCAAGATAAGGCAACAAAGTTCCTTCTCCCTCAGGACTGTCGTCTGTAGACAACCCAAACCGCATGAGAATATGGGTTGGTTAGGTCAGGTGTAATGATGTGTTGTATGGGCGTGGCTGTGACGCACAGAGTAAAACTGTCGCTGTAAAGCACTTTGGAAGTTGGAAACCGTGCAGCCCGCGCTGCTGCTTGCCTGCATCCCTATCAATGATTGCGTGGAATGAGTTCTTTCATTCTTCACCTGCTGCTGATAATCATGGATTTATTTATTTATTTTTATTATGTGCCATTTAAAAATGTTTTATATGCCATTAAAAATCATCAATGTAGGGTAGCCTATTTATCACTGTATACAACTGTATTTTTTGTTTGTTTGCAATTGCATTAAACACTAAATATGAGCTAATTAAACCCTCCATAACTCAGATAGCCTATATTCAAGATGTACTTTTCAAGTATAGCCTAAATACGTAAATAAATCTTCATAATGACTGACTAAATAATCATACACCTTCGAACATCATATGAGTTTAATAATAGTTTGATGCTGAAGAGTGACTCACTTTGTGCGAAATAACACAATTAATTCGTTTTTTTAAATATTATTTTAAAAATATATTATTTAAAGAAATATAATAAACGTTCACACATAAGTAAGGCGTGAAACCTCATGCTATCATAATATCAAATTCCCCTCCAAAACAAAAAGGCCATCTTTGGTTAAATACAAATAAATAAGTGAAAAGGAAAGCATTAAAAGAAAACAGCAAGAGATGAGAATAGAAACGGTTCTACATAATATTCCCAAATTAAATTGAATCAAAATTCATTGCCATTTCCAAATCTGCTGTCACACAATTATATTATGTAGGCCATGTCATTTCATAATTAAAATAGTTGTGATGGTTTCTCATTTAGCAGTTTCTTCTTTAGTTACGTTTAATTATATATTTTAGATTGCATTGTTATGCTGGATATGTCGGCTACAGTTATCCATTTTTGGAGTACTTCAGTTACAACGATATTTCATTAACGAAATATTTGCTTAAAATTGAAACCGATGTTGCCAATAGTCATATAATTGTCAGACAGTCACTGATGGTTGTTTGAATGAATTACGTTTGTTTGGTACATTTTATAGAAAGCTATTCCAAACTAGAATCAAGCAGACTGAAAGTCACAGAAAAAAACAGGATCATACCGCCACCTGCTGTCCCAGGAATGCCAGTACAAAATACAAAACGATTCTAGAGGAGTTTGGCAGCAGGTTTAACAGTTAATGTTCTGTAAAAAAATAAATGTTTTTGTGCTGTACCTTAAAATGTTTGCTTATACCACCACCGAGTAAAACATAAAAGCTCACTGAATATTGATAACAAATGAAGTATTTTTTATTTAACTGGTATGATGGAATCTTTGTAAGTATTTTTAAACAAATTTGAAGATAATTATAATTTTTGCAGTAGTTTATTATTTTTCCATAGCATGTCACATTCGAATATATGTCAGAATATGCATTTATATGGCTCTGAATTTTCTCTCAAACATACATTTGCATTATTAAAAAATAATGATTCGGAATGCTGTCAAAAAAGCAGGTCAGCTGAAGGACTACAATTTGACCTGGTAAGTAAAACAATAGTCAAAAAAAAAAACAAATATTTTTAATTTCAAGCAAAAATCAGAAATCTATTAGACATATTTCCTGATATCCATACACAACTGGATTCATCTTTATTAATTCTGTGCCAAAATCCCGCAGGAGAACCAAAGAAAAAAAAAAAAAAAAAAAAAAACAATGCTGAGAGTTTTTGTCTCTAATCTTATTTTCACAGTGTCCTCTTACTTACATAGTACTGCATTTCTTCAGGAGAAAAACAAAAGTGTTCCAGCAAATGGCTGTAGGGATTTTCTAGAGACTATCCCAGAGTGACACTGACACACAACATACACACGCATTCATCTGCTATGACTCAGATAACAGAGCATTGAGTGGAAAGTTGCCGTCCAATACAGATCCTGCAGAGAGAGATTAAAAACAGTCAAACAGTGAACAAAAGAGCAGCAAGCAAAAAGTCAGACTTTGTACATTCATAAGTGTCTTACCCCAACCCAAGCATGAGGATGTGTGTCAAAACTAGAGAGGGTAACAGTAACTTCAGCAAGTTTGTGTTCGTTTCTTTGTCGTTTTTGCCTGAGTTTCTGCCGTACAATCTGTTCCGCTTTGGTCGTTTAATAATCAGTGCTGGTGGTGGTACATTCTCTGGCCGGCTGGACCAGTCACAGATTCTTGCGACAGTCTCAACTTCCTGTTTGCTCTCTGATACAACCTCCCCCTGGGGGTGAAAGAGCAGGTGAAAGATCTTTGGCAATTTCACTACCACTGATGTCTAGTCTAGTCATTTAAGCAAGTCTGTAATGCAGTTAAAACATAGAATGTTTATAGTGGTGCTACAAGAATCAGCATACATGTCGGTTAAATTCGATCTCCATATGCCCATATTGCAACGAGGTCTGGTTGTGAGACCTCTAATAAACCTGCATGTATAGTATACATCATATTGGAATCTTATTGAAAAATAGAGGTTGCTTCAAGAACAAAATCATGATTTTACATGTATGGCAGGTTGGGTGACCACCAAACAAAGCAAATGTGGGGACGATTATAAGTCATACCCTGAAACATATAATGTCGAACTTAATAAAAACATTTGTATTTTTCCTTTCAGCTAATCAAAATTCTTTGTTCTTTAGTCCCTTCCAGATAAAAATCAGTATTTTACATGTCATTACATGTCAACTCAACCTCACTGAGCCTAAAGGCAGCGGGCATCATGTTGATAACTATTTTAGAAACCGTTCTGACCAAGTCCAACAAAAATAAATAATGAACAAATAAAACATAAAACAACATGAAATTTGATAGACAGTCGTATATAGTAAGAATATATTAAAAACCAAACCAAAAACTTTCATATTTTTTAGAAAGGATGTGATTTAAAACAACCACAGCAGGCAACAGGTTAAACAACAACGAAAATTTTAATTGACCGAATTATCCATTTGTTTTCTGACAGGGAACACATGGAACGAATCACCGGTCCACATTTTGATTGATCGCTGTCACAACCTACTAGTGACTGTGTTTACTCCTTTCATTTCAACCATTGGATAGGATATAAAACACGGCTGTTGTATTTGTACTTAATATTCTGCGCTGCAAAAAGAATAAATAAAATGCTTTCTTAAAAAGGCAAAAGAACGCATGCATGTTTTCTTAATATGATAATTAAAAACCAATAGACTGATGAAAACGTGGGACATTTCCTCAATATGCGACGTGCAGGACAAGGGGTGAAAATGCTGTGCGGTACAACGCAAAGTGGGACGGGTGGTCACCCTAATGGCAGGGGATGATAAGTAATTAATGCAAAATTTGTACCACTTAAAAACACTGTTCCTGACTATAAGGTTTGTGATTTTTTTTTTAATATATCTTATTAAAAGCAAGCTTATGCAATAAAGTCATTTTATTTTACCTGTGGATTGGCGTGTGTTGATGGAGGCTGTGTGTTGAAGGAGGCTGCACTGATAAGTGGAGGTGTCTGGACATGTCGAGGACTGGGAGCAAATAAATAACAGCCACTGTGGTTAGAATAATCATACAAGTCCTTGTCTTGCTGTACACAAATCTCTTGAAGTGGTTTGTACCTGCTGCAGTGAGAGCTTGTCCGTGAACTGCTGCTGGATTCCCGCTGTGCTTCCAGAAGCATTTTCTCAAGGTCTGTGATATCAGACAGGGATGGTATGTCCTCACTGTGTTCACTACATGAATCAAAGTGGAGCTCCACCCATGAGTCTGGAGGAGAAAAGTACATCAATGTATTTAGAAATGATTACTGAAAGCAGTTTCTTCTTTTTAGAAGTGCTGAATGTTTGCTTTGGTCTTTCTTAACACTCATGTTTTACTACACTTGATCTAACAGAAACTGAACCAAAAAGGGTTCAAACTTCAAATATGTAACCATGAACATTTTGGGATGTTAGTAAATGTTAGTAAATTGGGTCATTGTAAATGCCTCTTGTCCGTTACCAAATATTTGTACTAACAAAAATAGAACAAATGTTTGTTTTAGCAAACAAGTAACTTAGTTGCTGACTTGGCAGTATGACAGGATTTGTACACAAATCATTGTCTGTAATCTCCGCATTGTACAGTTTTATAAAAGAAAACTGTTACTTTTACTGTTATTATTAATAATCGTATTGTTTTCATTAGCTGTCGATGTAACGTAGGTACGTTGTTTAAGAGCGAGCCAAATTGTACAACTTACCGTGCAGACTTTCCTCCTGAGTTATAAGTTTTTGCCTTGACATTGCTGTTCCTTGTAAATGTCTGTGTCCAAACTTTGTTTGTTTGTTTGTTTCTGGACCAAAATATAAAGGTTGCTCGCCCTTTGAAGCATATGGGAAAACACTGACGAAAGCGCTCTTGGAAAACACTGACGAAATCTTTTGTTTACAGACAGACACCGCGCTCTGATTGGTCAGACGTTAGACCAATCATCTCAACCTACGTGAGTCGAGCGATAAACTACAAGAACATATACTGATTTCTGTTTAGTTTAGTGATATAATAAAAGTTTTCTTTTTGGTAACTGATGTAGGCAACTAATGCACACAAGACTAGTCAAATGAATACTATTACTATGATGAAGCAGCCCCCCCACCCACCCAGAGTCACCGAGACAGCGCCTCTATATGCTTTTCCACTACAATGAAAATTTGAAAACTAGAGCTTTTATACAACTATTTAGAATTTAAACATATCCATAATAAGACATATTATATAGAGTGACAACTGATATTTACCTACATTTTATGCAAGTAGTCTTTTCAGAAGTGTTGATTTTACTTATGTTTACCATAGACAGACAGTAAAAGACCTTTCCTTATCTGCCATAGGATGGCGCGACAACATCGCGACAACAGTTTTATCACGCGAGATTGTGGCGTCACATCCGGGAAAAGGTCGAAAAAACGATACCACGAAGAGATACAAACGTAGAAAGAACGGCCGTCTTTTTCACGAAAATACAATCGTACATGGGACACCTAACACATTAATTAAACGCTTTTTCATATAATTGTTCTATTGGGAATATTTAAAGGTAAGACGCATGGTAAAGGATGATTCGAGTGTACTGTGTTTATAGATGTAAACATGTCTTCTGCCGAGCGTGCGGCCTTGCGTTCTATTTGTGACTACACATCGCTTTTTTTGTATCGTTTAACTGAATTAAAACAAGGCGTTGTGAGACATAGTGTGAATTAATACTAATATTGGATTAACATTGTAAGCATTTATAATTAAAACGATCAAATTGATCAATATATTTGCATCCTTAAATGGGATAAGTAGGAAAATGACAAAATATTTTTACGAATTAACATGCCAATATGTTGAAAAAAATTCATTATATTTGAGACGTTAACATTGTTGTAAATCTAAGGGAGTAGTTCAAAAAATGGTCGGATTCAGATAACAAATATTTGAGATTCCTGTTCTAGAGAACATACATTTGATGTTTATATTATGTAAAGCAAAGGTGGGTGTGTTTTTCATTATTTTATTGAAAGGTGTGTCATTTAATTTTTCAGATGTCTGAAGAGTTGGTAAAGCAGTTGAGCAATTATAAAGCTCAGCTGCAGCAGGTGGAGGCGGCACTCTCTACAGATCCAGACAATGAAGATCTGCGCAAACTCCAGAAGGATCTCCAGGTTTGGGACACAGTTATCTTCTGCTTGTTTTTTTTTTTTTTTTTTTTTTTTTTTAGAATTAGTTTTCACTGATGAGGCCTTTATTATGAGTCTTTATTCGGTCTGCCATGTTTCTCAGGGGTCCAGTCAAGGTTTTTGTCACTTAGGTTGACGCTTGACAGCCTCTGACAAGAAAGTGCCTTTTATGTAAGTATGTTCACCAAAACATTACTGTTATGTGTCACTATAGGAGGTGATTGAGTTGACTAAAGACCTGTTGACATCGCAGCCTGTGGAGGGTACGACCAGTACAAAAAGCTCAGAGACAATCGCTCCCACTCACAGCTGGAGGGTCGGAGACCATTGCATGGCCACCTGGAGCCAGGACGGACAGTGAGTATCACACACCAACACAGTGCTGGGAGGTATATAGGGATTGTGTTCGGCTACATTTGGAAGAGGGATTCGTGTATATATCCGTACTCACCTGCTTACAGTGCTGTGTGATTGGCAGGTTGTATGAGGCGGAAATTGAAGAGATTGACAGCGAGAATGGCACTGCAGCCATCACCTTCGCTGGCTATGGTAACGCAGAGGTGTTGCCACTTCATGTGCTCAAAGAAGTGGAGGAGGGCAGGAGCAGGGAAGAGAAAGATGGAAAGCCTAAATCCAAGTAAGTAGACATGCACTTAAGTTTTAGATCTGTTTTAATATAGGGCCTATTTACACCTGGGCACTCCATGAGTTTTTACTTTTCCGATTTGTTAATCTAATTTGTTCAGAGGTGTAAAGTCCAGGGGTGAGAAGGTAAAAGTCCTGCCATATGTTTATTCCACCCCTGAACTCGGATGATTTCATTAATTAGTTCTATCTCCTGGCTGAAAAACTGTGCTAATTAGCAAATCCAGGTGACTGGAACAAAATACTGAGGAGGAACCCTTTTACTTTCTGAACCTGGACTTTGCGCCTCTGGATTTAACACTTTTTACATTTGGCCTCGTAAATCTGTCTCTGCAAAACGAATATAAATCCGATCTTATATTCCCACTCTATATGGAAATTTAACGGAGATCACGTCAACTAAAGCAACATATATGAGCTGCATTTTATTTATCATCAGCTAATTTCAAGATCAGGCCGCAATAGGAGAGAGAGTGGCATCAGCACTGGTAAGATAGTCTCACTTTTAATAAAGATGATTGTTTGTTGAGCGTCTGCGACTTACTTTTATATATTGATTATATTGCTATAAAATGTCATATAGCCTATAACACGCTCTCTCACGTTTATTTTTAATTTTTTTATCATTTTGGGAGGAGTAAAATTAACACGTGGTTTCTATAACCAGGTGCATTTACACTCCAGTTTAGTTTAGAATGCGTCTCAAAACACTTCCTGAAGGATTTAAATCCGTCTCAAGAGCGTTTCTGAGGGCATTTACACCTGGTCTTTTCAGAGAAAATGCATGAAGTGACCAGGTGTAAACAGGCCCATAGTGTCTGAACAGAGCAACATATCTTTATAAGGTATAATATGATTTCAAAGTTGTAAAATGAGCACAGTTGTTAACTTCAATTTAAAAATGTGTATATTTAAAATATTCCTATTAACTGAATTGTACATATATGTAAATCTAAATAATTTTTACACACATGTGCATATATAATTTATCTTTTACAAATCTTTCTTTTTGTGTGTTTTCTCTTAGAAAAGAGCTGCTGGCAGAACAGAGGGAATATAAGAAGAAAAAAGCCCAGAAGAAGGTGCTGCGCATGAAAGAGCTGGAGCAAGAGAGAGAAGTTCAGAAGTCCAAGTGGCAGCAGTTTAACAATAAAGCCTATTCAAAAAATAAGAAAGGACAGGTGTGTATTTAGGAATTAAGCCTGATTAACTTTGCAGTGTTCTCTTAAATGCGGTTGTTTTTTTAAAACCCTGTTACATTGTTGTATGATCTTCCTCTGCAGGTGAAGAGGAGTATATTTGCATCTCCAGAGAGTGTGAATGGAAAGGTCGGCGTCGGCACGTGTGGTATCGCAGATAAACCCATGACCCAGTACAATGACACTTCAAAGTATAATGTCAGGCACCTAATGCCCCAGTGATCTCCCTCGTGTCTGTGACCATCTGTAATCATCCACCATAAAAAATGAAACGAACTGAAACCCACTTAGAAGTCATAAACAAATCCGATTGGACATGATATGATTATGGTAACACATTTCCCCCTTGTTTTATTTGCAGTAATAGTGGGTACTTAGTCTGGATGTTGGAGCTGTTCTGTACTGAACAAGTCTCTGGATGTTCAACAGTCCTCAGTGAAGGACAGCTCCGGGTTAGTTTTACTGGTTCTCCTCACGCCCTCAGGTCGAGTCTCTGCACGAGCTGCTGAGGATGGAAACTGCTCTATAGTTTTTATGATGTATTGAACAAATGTAAATGGAAAGCTCTGGCTGCCCTCATACACATTTGAATGGTGTTGTTGAACAGATTAACAGATTGTTTTGCTGTCTTCACCTCTGTGTCTAATAAGCATTCTACTGCAGTCCATTTGTTGTTACATTTGCTTTTCAGTTTTGTATATTTACATATTTGAGAGGAATAAACATTGATTTCTTGACATTCTTAAAATAATTTGTGGTTTATTTTAGTTAATTTGACTTTTTTTTTCTTCAAGTTTTCCAAATGACAGGTTAGATTTGTGTTATAAAGAAAATAATTCATATTAAATTGCAGCACACTTTTATTTCACAGCGTTTACATTAGATTTACACGCGACACTGCAAATTACAAAAGCAGTATTTGACCATGGTAGACAAATACCTTGGTGAGCACAAGAATACATAACTATTAACAAATGGAGCATAAGATTTTGGTTAAAAACTGTGTTTTTTATAGTATAGTGATGATAGCTTAATATGTTCAACATTGTGAGTATAACATCATTTTTATATAATCAATCAATAAAACTAGAAGAATAATAATGTTATCAACCACATCTCTCCATTTATAAAACCAGCAAATCAAAAAAGCTTCATATCACACTAAATAGCCAGCTTCCCATTTCTTAACCCTTGTGCTGCATTAGATTTTTAACACCGTTGAGTGCATTAAGGACCAAAAATGGCCACATATTAAACATTGCCTAAAATATTATATATTATTATTATTTTCCACTTTTACCAAGTTAAATCTTTTAACCAGCATCAGTCCTCATCATAACTACCAAAAATGTATTCAATTTCAGGATTTTAACCCTTTAATTACCAGTTTTGTTGGCGAAACCATCGATTTGTATAAGAGGAAAAAACACAAAAATTCAATTATTTTCAATAAACTAAATGCAAAGAGAAAACTTTAGATTTGGATTATCACAGTCCCACTTAGCACGTTAGAGACCAAAAATGGCCAGCTATTAAACATTGCCTATTGCCTAAAATAAGGTGCATTTCCACCCATAGGGAATAAATATGTAGTGACGTCATCTGGTGGAATACACTATATAATGCAAATATAATGCTTTTGCTCCAAAATGAAAGGATGTTTGTGCAAAAATCATGTTTCATGTATTACTGACAGCCTCAGATTTAAACAACGTTTTAATGGGTTTCAATGGGCCATTTTTGGTCTTTATGGTGCTGAGTGTTACTATTTGATCTACACAGTGTGTGTTATACATATTTTGCAAAATGGGATCACATTTTTTACATGTATCCAAAAAGTCACAATTTTGCCGAATTTCATACCATTTGCATTAAAACAGCCAAAATGGTCAAAGAAATTAAACTGCAAAAGACCAAAAATGTCCC